CTCTGATGATGACTTCCGCACAGGTTGTCGAAACGTCAGTCACTACCACCGACAACAGTCCTCAGGACTACACTCACCCGGACGATCAGACTACACCTTCACAGACCGATATAACTTGACAACGATAGAAAGGGGTACAAAGCGTCTCAGTTTAGCTCTCATACCAATGGATTTGCTAATTTTTAGAGCAATGAGATCAATATGAGTTTTCCAGTTAAGATTCTTGTCAATGAGTATGCCAAGATATTTTACATAATCCTTGCATTCTAATGATGAATATGACATTTTATTGATGTCAAAGATATTTATCATCGGTTGGAAAGATAGCTTCTTTCTATAATTTCGAAATATCTCATAATTAGATTTCTTAGCATTTAGAGTTAATTTGTTTGCTGTCAGCTATTCACAAAGCTTGGTTAGCTCAAAGTTTACTTCTAATTCTAGGGATTTAAGGTTTTTACTACCATATAAGATACTGGTGTCATTGGCAAATAAATAAAACTTGAACTTATCTAAAAAATTTGTAATATCATTTATATACAACAAAAACAGTAAAGGCCCCAGAACAGAGCCTTGGGGAACGCCGCAATCAATTGGAGCCTTTTCCGAAATATAGGGGCCAATGTTAGTTGTCTGCGAACGCAATTTAAGATAAGAAGAGAACCAGTTGTTGACTATTCCGTAATGATGTAATTTCTGCAGAAGAATTTCATGATTTACGGTGTCGAATGCTTAGACGAGTTAATGTTAGGATATGATTTCGATATAATTTATATTTCTCTGTATTGCCTGACAAAAACAGTTTATTTTTTATTTTAATTGATCGTCTAATGCCTCTTGTGATCCATGGTTTAGAGAGTTGTTTTGTCTGGTGCCGATAAAGCGTCTTCAAGGGTGCATGCTTATTGACCAGTCTATTAAATTTATTGTAAAACGTTGAGCACTTTAGGAGAGGTAGATAGAACTCGACTAGTCGGGTGATGTGAAATACAGAACTGAGAAAAATGGTCGGTTATATCGGAGACTATGTTACCGCTTAAACAGAATTGATCGAGGTCATTTGTAAAAATGTTATCACTAAGAGTGGCTGATTTGTTATGTATGCGAGTGGGCTTGTCAATAGTTGGTGAGAGATGAAAGCTATGTGCGGACATTTAAAATCTTTGGCTTATAGATGATGACTGCTTTTTTAGCAGGTCAATGTTGAAATTCCCCATTATAAAGACGGGCCTATCATGCAGGATATATTTTTCTACAGATTTATCAAAGTACGATTGAAAAGATTCCAGAGAATTGTGTTGTCTGTAAAAAATCCCACAAGCAATATTCTTTTTGTGGTTGAGGATAATTTCAATCCACAAAGCCTGGAATGCCTCACTTGAAATATTCTCTAGCACCATATTGTTTAAAGTGTTACTAATATATCTTTCATATCAAAACTATGATCAGAGTTACTATAATTTAACAAAGCCTTCACAAGTAGAAAGTTTCATCAAACTGATGAAAGAAGAAGCTTAAGTAAAAAACATAGAAACAAACACAGTCAAGCAAATTTTGATTTTTGAATTTCCAGGCAGTTCCAATAATTATTTTCAATCACATGAGCTAGGGAGTCCCAGAGGGATCAAGAAGATGATAATATCACAAAATTCCAGTTTCTAAACAATTTCATTCCTTCTGATATTTGTTTCTAAACAATGGATTTCTTTTGATATTTGTTCCAGTTCATGCTCAAGGTCTGAGTTTTGGTGCTGGTTGGCTGATTGTGTTGTCGAGACACCTCTCATGCCCAGTTCTCATTTCCATCCTGAAGAAATGCAGTTGGGGGGGAGGGGAGGGGAGGGGAGGGAGAGGAGAGGGAGAGGGGTCACCTTAGGTAGACAAACCCCTCATCCAGGAGAAGTATAAATACTTCTGGTTGTCTCGTGCCCCTGAAAATTAGATGTGGTGGATAAGTTTGGGTTTCTAGGCTTGCACAACCTAACCTGATTCATGACCACAGTGTGTGTAATTGATCATTATTGACAATAACCCTTGAAGTTAAAATTTTCTTTAAACACTTTCCACACACTAGGTTCTCGCATCTTCCAGTTAATACAACAAATCTGTCATGAAGTGATTACATAATGTTAAATTGTACTTACTAAGTCAGACTTGCATGGATTGAGTTTATTGACAAACAACTCTTTGGCAGCAATGAGGTTTTGTATTTTGCTGTAGATGATTCAAATGAGAAGAAAAAAATGTTTTTTTCATCAAAACAAAATTTAGAATTAAGCATATACCCCATTCACACCACAGGCGTCCCAAGCTCACGTCTCGAGGAAAAGGGAAGGATTATTTTATGAAAGCATCACGTGTTGTGTGACACGTGTTATTTACACAAGTAACTGTTGAGAATTTGAATGGATTTTAAGGAATAGTATGGGGAACAAAATATGGTCCATTTACACGCTAAATATTCCAAAATATGAACATTTTACAAGTTAGATGAATAAAACTTACTCATTCCTTGTGTGTCTGTTGTGTTTTTTGGCGATTTCCATTGTTTTGGGTTTGCTTTGCCATCACTGTTTTTCCTGTTATCAGACTTCACACCAAGTCACACAATGTGCGACGCTTTCATGAAATAATCCTTCGCTTTGGCTCGAGACGTGAGCTTGGGACGCATGTGTTTAGTTAAACGCAGTTTAATTTTCTGGCAAGAGTTCCATAATATTAACCCCATACATTAATTATGCATAGAGTATTGCAAAGAAACCTCTATATTTAGTCTTCATGAAATGAATGCATATATGGAACTCTTTCCAAATTTTTTTCTTTATAGCAGCGGGTTAAACCTTTGTTTGTCAACTTCAAATGTAAGTCAGCAATTACTTGAATCCTATATTCTCTATAGAGGTATTGCATGGCAGCCATGTTGCATGGCAGGAACAATGAAAATATTTTGCATAAGAAAGAACATTTTTTTTCCCATGGGAAAAATAATCTATTGTTCCTGCCATGCAACATGGCTTCTGTGCAAAACCTCTATTTCTGATTTTCATTCAGTTAAACTGTACACCATTTAACTAAACATGTTTTGCTGGTGTGCATAGAGTATAAGTTTATGGCCCATCCTTGGTGTAAAAACCTGTGAAGCTCACGAGTGACGTAAAACAAAGACAATAAAACATTATAAACAATAACGTACAGCAAAATAATAACTCATGAAACAAAAAAAAACCTCGTCAGGTTTTTACACTGAGGATGACCCAAGTTTACTGTGCACTGTACCGTGTCTACTTGCTATGTACGGTACTGTGCATTTATTACACGACTCGGGCAGTCAGAGGGCCAATAACTAAATTCAACCAATCAAAATGCTCTATTGCCGGTCAATATTCTCTCAGTATTGGACCGGGCACTGTCCCGAGTGATACCGCACTTGTGTCCCTTTGAACTTCAGTCGTATAATAAATCTCTTATTAACCAAGCTTGCTCGGGACGGTACTGGAAGAATATCGGCCCTCGGTCTTTTTTGTACGGACCTCGCTGCGCTTGGTCCGTACTGTCAAGACCTCGGGCCGATATTCTCCCAGTACGGCCCTCGCGCTTGGTTAATAAGATATATTTATTTTACTGGCACATAACGAGAGAGTGAGACAGAAAAACTTAACTTTAAATAATAATCAAATAAAATTTCGTCAACACGAACGTGAATGTCCCACCCAAACCACCTTACATTCTTCCAATACCAAAGCCACTAGCTGCAACACGATCCACCCGTAAACATGTAAGGACCAAATCAAGCTCTTTTACGTGTGAATCGGTTCCTAAGCCATCAGACCTTCTTTCTATCGCTTTATCCGCGTCGCCACCAACGGTGGTACAAATTTGCTTTTTTGAGAAGCGAATTACTAGAGCTTTAAATAAGTCAATACTTCTACGATGAAAAATGGCTGTTGCGACCGCCATGTCTACATTCGTTCGCAGTCTCCTCCGCATGACCGCTCGAACATGTCACGAAATCGTGGCACGAGAAGGGATAGTTACGCATCCAAATAGCCTGCGTGCAATCGGACTTTCCTTCGTTCTTTCGTTTTTAACGAAGGAAAGTCCGTCTGCACGCAGGCTATCATCCAAGGTACCCAACGCGACATGGAAGCAGTGCATACATACATACTTTATTTGTCAGGTAGGTCGATAAAAGGGAGCTAAAAAGCTGATGTGGACCAACAAACTAAAGTGTATCTACAAAATTTAAATAATAATAATAATAACTAACTTGTGAATTTATGGTAAGTAAGAAAAGATGTAATACCTAGTAAGATAATTTAAAGTTAATCGACTGTAGTGTTAAAAATAAATAAAATAAATAAAAATAGTAAAATGACATTAATATATGTAATTTACAATGTCTTCATTTATTCCCTGTAAGCCATTAAATGTTATTTTATCTAAAATGTCGGATTTTGCTTTAAGAGCAGATATAAAGAAACAGTGTTCGGTTTGCTCTTTGAGCACATGGGTAAGTTGTTCCATAGAATAGACGCGTGCATGGTGAGAGAAGGAAGATCGACGGAAGTCACTTTTAGGGCGTTGCACGTATAGTTTCAGACTGTCCCTTAGATTTCTCAACGGAGAGTGTTTAATAAATAGAGAGCTGGTACCAGCCGGAGCTCTATTGTAAAATGCCTGGTAAGATATAGTTGCAATCCTCTTTTTGTAGATGTATGATAAGGACTACCATTTTGTCGCTGGACTTCAGTGTTGGGGGTAGATTCCTTTAGGTTGACACATTTTTGATTTATGAACAAAATTTTTCACCGTACCGTCAAAAAAGCAATTTAGGTAGAGCTCCAAGCTCTCACACAGTACGGTGCCTCTTTACCCTTCCTACGAATTTTCTTTGAGATAAGTTGGAATGTTTATGTCAGGACGACCCATGGACGTAATTGATAGTCCAAGAGAAAATTAATCGTGACTTTTGATCTGCATTGCGCGCGCAGTCTTGTGTTTACCTGAGCAAATCGACGAAAATTGTTCCTCTTCCTTCTCTTTTTGCGTTTCAATAAAAAACATGTGTGAATTTGATTATCTCAAGTTATTTCTCACTGCCAGCTTTATATTACCGTCGCATCACGTGCCTATAGAAAGATTTAGAACCGCGTTTACGTAAAACGTGAACGGGAAGAGTGACGGCGTGACCTTGTTTTTCCCGCCATCAATTTTTTGCGTTTGCCGCTACTACGTGAAAGTAACCTGTTTCACGTTTTCCGGGTACGTAAGATTTCCTTCATTTTTTCTTTCACAGAATAGAAGTTATTTGCCGGAAAAAAGGGCACCAAAATTATTCCTTGAAAGTCATACATTCAAAGGGTGCTTTCAAATCCACCATGAAATGAGCTCAAGCGAAGCAAAAGCAGCAAGGTTCACGCTATTTGACGTAAAACGTGTAAGGGCGAGCTGAAGTTGGTCTTTTTACGTAAACGCGGTGCGTTAACGTAAAACGTGCGTTCCGCATAATCTTTCCAGGTTGTAATTATAATGAAGGTCTAGCTAAAGCTGGGCTACGAATCCTATATGATAGGAGGCGCACATTATGTGCAGACGAAGATCTATTCAATAAAATTGCGCGTGGCAGCCATAAACTCAGCCATCTACGGTGGCTTCAAAGGGACCTACACTTTCCTCTCTCTTTTTTCTTCACTTGCGACTTAGCTGCGACTTTCTTGCGACTTGCTACTTTCCATCCTCGGAGACTAAGTGGATGCATAAATAAATACATAGACATAAAATAAGGTACTCCAGAGGTAACTGTCAGCCAGTCAGATAATGCCCTTTTACAACAAGCGTAGGAGGGAATTTCTGCCCTTTATACATAAACTACAGCGTTGAAAATGTTATAAAACAATTGGTTCATACGTCAGCTGTGTGTTCATCGAGATATGAAGCACTTGGGAAGTTTGGAGAGCACTTAAGAGGCTAGATTTGCTCTCGGCTACGCCTCGATCGACTCTTACGCATCTTTCGCGCTCTCCAAACTTCCCGCGTGCTTAATATCTGAATGAACGCACGCTGACGTATGAACCAATTGTTAATTTCTATTCAAAACCATACAGTGGTTGACACTGAAAAAAAAAAAAACAACAACAACAACAACAATACGCATCGGCGCACGGAACTGAGGGGAAAAGATTTTTATTAATTCCATAAATGTTCGGTACCACAAAAATACTCTCCCATCATTCATAAGGGCTGAATTGAACCTTTTATTCAATCTGTCAAAAACCTTCCATTTTATCATTTAATTACATCCACCTCTTAAGCAAGACAAGCATGAAAACACCGAATGCAAATATAGCGTCCAATTTGAGTTGCCATTGTTCTGGACTGACTAGCCTCTCACACATGCAATAATCCTTTTGTATTTCCACGTGAAGACGAGGCTAGTCAGTCCAGAACAAAATGGACGCCATATTTGCTTTCGGTGTATACAGTCAGTCTAGTTCACTTTTTAGGAATATAAACTGTTCCCAAATGTTTCAAAGAATTTCTAATCTTGGCTTGGTGCTCAGTTGGACTCGAGTCCTTCCTTGAATATGGCATTTCCAGCGATGAATCAGCAAATCAAAAAACAATCCAAAGTTATTTTCTTGATCATAAACCATGCTAACTGTGTCGCTTAACGTCCAGTGGGTATCCAAGTGTTATCTCCTCGGTGACGAGGAATACTGACTCTGTCTGTTCAAGTTTTAACGCATTGCTTTAGAAGTAATTGACGTTGTGCCCTGTAAAAAGTAATCGTAACTATTACAACCACAGAATGACGTACTCAAAACCTCTAACTAACCGGGTTCGGGATTCGTTCAGTAAGTTACGGACCGAGTTTTCACTTTCGCTCGGATTTATGGCCGGAAAAAAAACGCGGAAAATCAAGCGCGGAAAAAAACGAGGTTCTGTTACATACGGTACGGACCAAGTAAACGAAGTTGGTAAGACATTTATCATACCTGTATTTCTGGGTTCAAAGAGAGGGGGAACAGCTCAATTCAAAGAAACTTTTGGATTTTGTAGGCCGCTGCATTGACCAATCATAGCGCAATATCTTTCTGAGAGATATCATAAAATTCCTAACAGAAGTTTGGGTAAAAACATACAACTTTTGGCAGCTATGGGAAAGGTCATCATCACACATTAATTATGTGCTGCAAAAGGCAGCAAAGGAGTTTCAGTGACAACGCAAAAGGAAGTGTAAGGAACTAAATATGGGTGTGAAAGAGAATGATGAAATGATGAGGTTCTAAGATTCCACTCCTGCAGTTCTTTTTAGGTTCAGGAAGGAACAGGCAGCTTATAAAAAAGACGAGGACACCACGGCAAGTTTTCACTGCACCGAAACTTCGCTGGCTTTCAGGGTGAATTTTTCATTCACCACGAAAGCCAATGGGCGATCATGAACAGTTTACAGTGTTGGGACGTTATAACGAGGGGGGAAAGCCGAGCAAGAATCTATAACTGTCGTTTCAACAATTTTTCTCCATTCCCAGCTACACAGGACTGTGTCTTCTTGGCAATCCCAATTTCAATTTCTTTTACTGCTTCCACACCTTTTATAGTGGCTAAAAAACTCAACAACTATACTCTCTGGAAGGAACTAAGTTGTAACCGGAGCCCATCCTGCTTGTAGACATATTTAGGTTCGCTGAGTGTTGGAACTCAATCTATACCTCCTGCTGTAGAATGTAGAGAAATTCAAATATACCTAGTACATGGTTGAACTGAAAACCCAAATTGGAACACCGGTGTAGTGATCCCAAAACACACCTATTCCAAGAAACAACATCAAATTCAACATTTCCAACTCTTAGTTAAAACAGTCAAACTCTGTAAAGTCTGCACTGCAGAGATTTGGTGATATATTGTTACTTCATCTTCTCTAAATTCTCTGTTTTACTTAATCATAACGTCTTGTATTTATGCATCTCATCACTTACAATTTATTGTACAGCTATATCATAGTGTGCTGCTACTCCTTTGTAAAATCCAGTACAGATTCCTTAGATACAGACATTGTCTTACTGGTTTTCCGCATGGAGAGAAACCTCTTCACCTCAGAGTGACCAGACTGAAGATAACCATTTCCTAAAATGAGACATTTAACATAATCTAAATGAACTAGCTAAGAAGTCTGTAAAGTCTAAAATATTTTGAATAATCAAGGTGGCCACACCACCAGAAATTATTGCTGTTTCTACACCAGGAAACAACAAGAAGTTTTGTGACTCTCCACCGATAGGAAGCTTGTCCATCACAGGCTACCTCCAAAAAATTCACTAGGATTTCCTGATAATTTCCAGGTATGTATGTATGCTCTTGGGTAGACAGATGAGTAAGAGCAAAGTGTCTTTCCCTAAGACACAACACAATGACCATGGCGAGAGGTCAAACCCAATCCAGAGAGAAGCAGTCTATTGACCCTTTAATCTCCTTACTCATTCTGAGTAACATATGGCAGTCTGGGCCTTTTCCAACAGCTAGGCAGTTTGGAGAGCCACAAAACCCCTCTAATTCATGCTTACCATTAAGCCACTAAATATCAATTAATCAATCAAGTGTACCAAATTCCATATACCATAAACTTATCTACAAAAAAATAAAATCTACAAGTCTTGCTTGCCCACCAAGACTAGAGGCCATTCTTGTAGTTATTTGCATGAAGGGATCCTGTAGTGCTTTCCTGTCACCAGCGTAAACTTCCGTCAGATGTACTGAAAGAAAGATAAGCACCTATGCTGAAAGAATTCAAAATCAGTCTTCCGCAAAGAATTATTAGTGTTAGATGTAAATAACTAACAGTAAATAGGTAAGAACAAATTAGGAAACAATAATCAGTTTAGATTACCTCTTTCCGCCTCAGCCCACTTCTTCATGACAACAGATTCACACTCTCGTTCTTCCTTTATATCAGTTTTTGTTGCTATTACAACCACTGGAAACTGTAAACAAAGATCTTGGTATATTAGCAACCATCTGGTCAGAAATACTATGTACAGTGTCCTGATAATTGACCACTGCCAAAAATAGAGTTTGTTTTCTTATTCTTCTTCCTTTATTGCCCCACCTGTTTCTACAAAGAAAAGATTTATAGAAGGATCATTAAAATGTATAAAKAATAGCAAGGCCCGACTACAACTCCAGGAGCTACGTCTCCTACTCTTTGGGTTTTTTGACATCCCCTGCTAACCAGTACAGAGGAGATATAGGATAGAAGGCCAATGGTTTTTAACCCTTATCTAAGAGGACTACAATGTCTAATCAGTTGCAGTTGTCTTAGCAAAGGAAGCACATTCTCTTCAGTCACTTACAGACCCTGAGTGTTGGTCTGGTCAAGGGCTTTCCCTTGCATTCCTACATGCCGGTCCAGTGCTCTACAACATGAACTAACCACGTGTGGTTCAATGGGCCTGGGGTTCAATGCTGCTTTTTTCCAGCCCTGCTGGCACCCCTGCTTACAATTTCATTTGAGGATTTTCTTTGATGTTAACAATAAATGCACAGGCAAGTATTTAATAAGTTCATATCATAATTTTTTAACTTTGGGACAAATATATCAACTTACATCTTTTCCTTTGTTTTTCTCAATTTCTTTCTTTATGGCTTGGACCTGCTGAAATGACTTCTTTGAAGTCACACTAAAGACAAGAAGAAATCCCTGCAAAATAGAAGTCTTTGTTTCGTAAATATTGTATAATTCAAAACAAAAATATGTTAAAAAAAGTTTTGAGCACAAGGTACACAAGCTTACATCTGCCAGACTAAAGTAGTGTTTAGAGAGCTCCCCATTGCTTGAATCCTGTCTAAGAATCAATGAACAAATGACAAAGTAAGCAAATGTAGTTATTTTAGGTACGCAATAAACATACACTCCTCTGAGCCCAGTTGTTCAAAGGACCAATAATGCAATCCAATGGTTAAATCAGTATACAGCAGGTAATTGTCAACAAAACCCATTCCACTCTCCACTGGACACAGATTTATCCAGCAGATTGCATTATCCATCCTTGAAACAACCAGGTCAGAACATGTTAATTAGTCAGCACACTTTCCTGCAAAAATTTCTGTAATGTTCTCCCTTCCCTCCTCTCCCCCTTCCAGTCTTGTTATTTGACAATTTTTCTGTACCATCCAGGGGTGGCTCCAAGATTTTTTTGAGGAGGGGAAGCACCACTAAAGAATGGCGTAACTGACTGGTGACCGGATGTAAACAAATTGTAATAGCAGAATACCACTTGTATTAGAAAGCCGCAGGTCATATCAGGGGAGGAGGGTGCACACCCCCCTGCACCCTCCCCCTAGATCTGCCCCTGCCATCTTTAAGACCACTATTGGAAGGGGCAGAAGAGGCAGAAGGTGTCCTCGGGCAACATATGTGCTTGGGACTGGAGGTTCAATCTTTTTTTTTACTCAGTTGATCTAGAAAAGTAACACTAAACATATACCAATGAAAATTCATTGTTATAACTTACCACACTGGCAGTATCAAAAATTCGTACTCTTTCTCTCCCTCCTCGCTCCGTGTCCAACTGAACTTCATAAATGTCTTCAATAGTATGAAACATTGGCTTCATGTTTAATGAGAATAATAACAAGAGAAATAAACAAACCATCTCCCAGCAAAACCATTCTATTTCAAAGTTCCAAAAGTACTGTAGATCAAGCATTCTTGACATGAATTTTAAAACACATCTCAATTTATTGACCAATTAAGAAACAGTCACAAATGATTCATGTCAGGACACAAAGTACTGCACTTTGTAAAGGTGCAACTACATGGTATTTTATCTTTACTTACAATGAAATTCCCTTGTATGGATCTTATGCGAAATAACACACCTTAAACAGGGGGACGGGGATCACAAAAACACCTGGATGTCCCCTGATGGAAGAACACAGAACCAGATCGATCATGTACCAGTAAACCAGCAGTTTAGAAGATCAGTTCAAGACACAAGAGTCTTGAGAGATGCAGACGTCGGATCAGATCACCAACCGGTTAGAACCAAGGTAAAGCTCAAGCTAAAGAAAATCACCAAGCCTACCAGCACAAGGACTAAGTATGACACTGGTAAACTACAGAACCAGTCAATTATGAAAGCATTTTCAATAGAACTTCGCAACCAGTTTTCAGTCCTCGAGTCAATTGATGACAATGAAGAGGAACAGGAAGAGGAACATGAACATGATATTGATACTAAGTGGTCCCACTTCCACAAAGCTTATAACAACATGGCAGAAAAAAATACTAGTAGGTAAGAAAAAGAAAAACAGCAAACCATGGATCAGTCAAGCCTCTTGGTCAACGATAGAAGAGAGAAAACACCGGAAGATCCAAATGGAAAAAGCAAAGTCAAAGAGGATCCAAAATCAACTTCAGGCAAAATATAAGATTAAAGACAAACAAGTTAAGAAGAACCTCAAAGAAGACAAATGGAAATGGCTCAACAACCAAATGGACGATGCACAAAAAGCAGCGGACATGGGTAACATGAAAACCTTATACAAGATAACTAAATCTATCTGTAATGAGAAGCCATGCAACTCCACCGCAATTAACGACAAAGAAGGGAAAACCATTACCGAAGACTCAGCCAGATTAACCGCTGGAAAGAATACTTTGAAGAGATCCTGAACCACGAAGCCACAACAAACCCATTGATGATTGACGCAGATATCCCAGAAATAGAAGAATTCATACATAGCCCATCAGCAAAGATGAAGTTGGGCAAGGAATTAGATCACTAAAGAATGGAAAGGCAGGCAGCATTGACAACATAGTAGCAGAGCTTCTCAAAGCAGACCTCGAAATATCCACCCAAAAGCTACATGGAATAATTCAATTAATATGGGAAGAAGAACGAGCCCCCTTAGAATGGTTAAAAGGGTTAATCATTAAGCTACCCACGAAAGGAAACCTAAGGGACTGTACCAACTGGCGAGGTATAACCTTACTCATTATTGCGAGCAAAGTCCTAGGCCAGATTCTCATGGAGCACATGAAGCAAGGAATAAATGCAAAACTACGTCAAGAACAAGTTGGATTTCGCCAGGGACGAAGTACCACCGAACAGATATTCATACTATGCAACATTATCGAACAGACACATGAATGGCAGGCTTCCCTGATCCTGAACTTCATCGACTTCGAGAAAGCACTTGATTTGTTACATAGGAACAGCCTTTGGGATATTATGAAGCTATATGGAATACTGAGTAAACTCATCAGAATAATCCAACTCCTTTACCAAGATTCCAAATCTGCAGTCCTTGATGGAGGTCAAGCATCTGAATGGTTCCAAGTAAAAACTGGCGTCAAGCAAGGTTGTGTAATGTCAGGCTTCTAATTCCTCCTCACCATCGATGGATAATGCAAGAGACAACCAATCTAGCAAAGACAGGCATCAGATGGAAATTCACCAGTCAGCTAGCAGACCTAGACTACGCGTATGATATCGCTCTGATCTCAACCAATCACAGACAGATGCAAAAGAAGACAGATAAGCTAACAGAGGCAGCTTAGAGAGTGGGACTAACATCAGCAAATCGAAAACACGCATACTGAAAATTAATTGCAAGAACAACAACTCTATCAAATTCCAAAACGGTCAAGACATCCAGGAAACAAATGACTTCACTTATCTTGGAGCATGTGTAAGTGTGGATAGGGGGAGCAGATAAGGACATAGAAAGCAGACTTTGTAAGGCCAAGACAACATTCAAGAAGTTGAGAAAAGTGTGGAGCTCTCAGCAATATAGTAAGAAGACCAAGATTAAGCTATTCAACACCCTCGTGAAACCGGTCCTTTTGTATGGAAGTGAAACATGGAAGACAAATACGAAACTTGATTCCTTTCAGTACTAGTGCCTGAAGAGAATTCAAGGTATATTTTGGCGGTACATCATTGCAAAGGAGGAATTACAAAAACAAACCAGATCCGCGGCGATGTGCATAGAAGTCAGGAGAAGGAGGTGGAAGTTTCTTGGAAAAGTCTTGAGGATGCTGCAAGACCACCACTGGGTAATGGCCCTCACATGGTCACCAGATGGTAAGAGAAAGGTGGGCAGGCCCAAAACAACTTGGAGGCGATCGATTGAAAAGGAAAGAAGTGAGGCAGGTTGGAAGTCGTGGGAAGAAGCGAGGATTATTGCAAGAGACCCAGACCGATGGAAGGGAAGTATCAAGGCCTTCTGCACAACAGAGCACAAAGAAGACTGATGATGATGAAACAGGGGGATCATTTCAAACAAGGAGGTCCAAAAATGTATCACCACCCCCTCCCATTCATCCTTAAGCTGAGGGGTAAAATGGAAAATCCATGTAGTAAAACAGCCTGGAAAGCTCCCAAAAACCCCTTAAGCCCCCCTCAGAGAAAACTTCTTTCTACACCCTTGTTTGACTACCCTGGTGGACTGCTGTTGGAACTCACATATTGTTGTCACCTGTTCATTTTTTTCGCTAAACACAACCATTACTTTCATATCCTCGCACAATTCACAGGTTATCTTGATCATGACATGCCAGTGAGGAACTTCAGTACTTAGCAAACTCAGTATGATTAGAAATAACATAGGCAATTCAATAAAAAAAAATTCTTAGTCTCCAAGAAGAAGAGTACGAGGACAGCCGTTGTTCCTCAATCTGAAACAAATATTACTCATGTATTCGCCAAGTGCTAAAAAATACATATATCCTTCCTTCTCCCTCAAACTTGACTCCCACTGAAATTTTTAACAACCTCTTTTTCTAGCGTCTTAACTCTGTGGCAAGTGATCTCGTTCTATTGCTATACAACAAAATGAAGAGCTGGTGAAAATTTAAATGCTCGCTTACTTGGCCAGGAGAGTGATTTCCAAACACAGCTTGCTCGATGACTGCCGTTTTGCCGACACAGCTACCTCCAACAACTACTAGACGTAAACATTTAGGCATGGCGCTCCCTTCTATTTCCTCACTTGAAAAGGAGCAAGGAAGGAAGATAGAAAGATTGATCTTCTCTCAAAACAAAGATGGCAGGTAGTGCGGGAGACCTGGTCAGGAGCAAGTGACTCGTACCCAGTGCCATCAGGTGGAGAAGTTAACTACACTTCAGTACGGGGTCACTCACCAAAATGGATGAAAAATCACTAAAGGCAGCGGCATATTTCGCCGCATTTCTTTTAGAAAATTGCAGAGGATGCAGAGGTTTTTTGCTAAGTTGTCAGTTCAAGGATAAGAAGCTGAAGAAAAGGTCCCTGACAACTGCATGTGTGCTCGTTTCATTTCGTCACCTGCTTATAGCAATGAGCGACTGTCACACATGATCGGAGATAAAGTCCTCCAGGATCACAGCCAGAAAATTTTCAATAATAAGACAACAACCGAAGTATTTCCTCTTGTCCAACCTCAAAACCTATTTTCTCAGAAACCAATCTTATCAAACGCAAAAAATCATTGCCTAACACACTTTGTCAGCTTGTTGTCTGCAGTAACGAGGAGACTGGTAATTCAGTCAAAGAGACACCGTCAGTTTTGCGTTTTTAAAAAGACTTGAACGTGCTTATGAAAACACGAGTGTTAAAACTTCTTTTTCAGGATCTATACTCAAAGCTGTAATAATTATATATAATAATTTGGATATATCAACAAAGTTGAANTGGGAAAAAAAATATTTAGATTGTTCAAAATTTCGAGTGTTGTGTACATTTTTCGTGGTAGTAAAAAAAATCGGGAAGCTGAATTCAAAACAGAATGTATTACCATAGAGATGGGGGTGCTACCTCAAACACACATACACAAGTTTAACAATGTTTTATTTAAATAAAGTTTCCTATGAAATTCTCAATACCTTATTTATGTATAATATGTACAAACAAATACTTACTCTCACATTTTAACAAATCCTTTACAACTTGTTAGTTTTCTTGTCAAAAAAATATTACGTACTAGAACTATACAGAAATATTCTACCATAAATAACTTGATCTACTTGCTGGTTTCCGAAACTTCGCGTGCAAAATTCAACGGCCAAGATCTACAATCACAGAAGTAACTTACAAAATAGTTAGTATAAACAGTCATATAGTTCTCCGAAAAAGGCAGCGTAAATGAAATCTTGAAAACAAAACATGAACGTTAAATAAACTGGTAACTTCGAGCTCACGATGTGCCTAACAATTATTATTTCGTGTCAAAAAAAATCATTTAATTAACTTGCATTTTTATGCGGAAACCTGTAACAGTGTAAATGATTTATAAAATGATCATCTGTTTGCCACATCCTTTTTGTGTCCTGTACATTGAAATTGAAAAAAAAAATTGGTAAAAATTATTTCAATTAGTCATCGTCATATAAAAAGGCCTCCCAGTCATCAATTTCTGCAGCATTCTCCTCTCTTGTTTGTTTTTCTTCTTCTTCACTCGATGAGAAAAAAAATTCATGCCCCAAAACCTTCTTCTCATCGAGACGACTCTTAATGGCATCTAGTCTGTATTTTATCGACGCATAATCCACCTTTCCCTCGTTCTCTCCGAAGGGATCCTGAAAGTGAAAGAATATCAAATCGATAATATCAGATTGTGATTCTATTTTACGTAAAAATGCAATATTATTCTTTCCATCCTTATTCTAAAAATTCATACAAGACCAAACAGTCAAAACGGGGGTGGGGTACTCGGGTAAATGTTTGCTGGGTATGTGCCGCTGGCCTCTTAGACAGAACCCCTACCCAGTTAGAGGGTGCTTACCATTTGTAAGAAAAATCCGATTGGTGTAACCTTGGAAAAAAAGTAAGGGAGTTTCCGAATTCATGGACCAACCGGATGAGATTGAGCTTACCATTTATCCAGCAGGCGTTTCGTCTCGCTCCAACCCAAGGCAACTCAAGCGGAAAGGCCTGGAAAAAAAATTTTATGACCTTCCGTTCCGAATGGAAAAAGAGGAGTACCTCTGAAGGTTCAAAAAAATTTCCGAAAGGAATTTCCGGAAACTTACCTTACCATTTGACTTCAAACCGAAAAAAAAAAATTTTTTGGCCAAATGATGAGCACCCAGAGTCTCATCTGTATCGACCCCATCTTAATCACCTTTGGACAAATGTAATTTTTGCGGTCCCAACTTAATCCCTTTGTTTATGCATCTAACTTAAAAAAACCCAGTTCTTCCACAACCTCAGACTATTAATAATCTCAAGACAAGTTTTTCGTATAGCTGACCTCAGTTGTAGAACCACTTATCTATAGACCTAAGGCAAGCATCTTCTTTGACCGATTTAAAATCTAAATTTAGGCGCTATAGTAATACACGGCCTCCAAAAAAAACAGTTTTTATTTCTAGAACATTATTATTTTTTCATTGTAGTTGGGTAAGTGGCGAGATAGTTGAGCATCTTAAATGACTGATGAAAGTACCGTGTATAAATGAAGTGATCGTATCGTATCAGCTTTTCACTCGGTCATCCTAAAATGAATCGACACCTTAATTATGGTAACAACTTTTTTACTGCGAATATTCCCATTTTTAAATCCCAACTTGCCTAACTTTCTTATTCCCCAAAATCCCGAAAATGTGCAACCCCATTCTAGTCTAATCTGAAGAGTACCTACGTACAATGTACTGCAATATGTCACAGTCTGTGGCGCGGCGATAGTCTTACAGTTTTTATTAGAAAAAAACTTATGTGAAACGGACAATAAACTAAACGTCAGATAACCCCCCCCCCCCCCAAAAAAAAACAACTGCAAAACCTACTTTCTTCCAGTAACCGTATACTACATATCTCAAGTAAGACAAAGCGCACTTGGTGACTATGCGAAAGAAAACTTATCCACAATCCCGGGGGGTAAAAAAAAATCATGAAGGGCTTAATGGGGACGTGCGGCCAGCCAGGGTATGTTTTTCGAGAAAAAAATCTTAAACAGGGTATCGAATTTATCTTTTTTTGTCTTAATCAGGGTATCGATAAAAAAATTTTGTCTTAAACAGGATATCTTTTCTTGGAAGATAAACAGCAAAATTTTTAAAAAAAATAATTTTAATTAATATTGAATTCCGTTGATTTTGGCATTGATACCAGGCACAAAAAAAATCTTAAACAGGGTATCAAAAATCGGAATTCTGTCTTAAACAGGGTAGGAAAAAAAAAAATATTTGTTTTAAACAGGGTCAGGGTATGAGAGGCCGCGCCACACCTCCCCACGCAGGAATATATCGAGTGCCCGCCGGGTCCGCAACAGTCTTAACCCAGAGAGAAGAAAAAGGCAAAGAAATGGGAAAATGTTTCTCCTTACCTTCATCCTTTTTCCGTTAGAAAGCATAAAAAAATCAACAAGTGACGAATATCTGTCATAAAACCCAAGGAATAACTTCTCCATTCGTTTTCTGAAAAAGCGATTAAATATAAACAATATAATGGCCTCCATTTGGCGCGAAATTAAGCACGGATACTTGTCTACGGACATTATCTGTTCTGAAATGCGAACAGATAATGTCCAAAAAAAAAAATACGAGCAAAAAACGCGCCAAATGGGGGCTATTGTGTTTATTATCCTTCAAATATTTTTAAACGCGCGGGGAAAATGTTAACAAACAGCTAACCGTATACGGCGTGGGAAAAAAACTTTTCAGTGTTCTCTGATACGATTTTATGCACAAAAAATAGAACGTATACAAAACATGGACCGGGGTCCATGGACCACCCCTAATTTTTGAAAAGGAGATCGCCCCTGTTGATATGAAATTTACCGGAGGTCAGGGTATGAAAAACATGGACTCGTATTTATTGCGCCCCCATAAATGGGAAGACCATAAACTCGTTTTGAGATACAGAAGATCGAGTGCATTTCTACCCCCAATATTTTCATTCCAACACTTCCAAATTGCAATTCGATCGTGAAGACACCCCTACCCCGCTTATTATACTCTATCGTACATAAAAATAAGTCGATTTATTTTATAAGCGAAGTTAAAAAAACAAACACAAATTTGTAATCAAGGTATATTGATGAAAAAGTTTAATGGATAGCAAAAAAATTTAATGAGAGAGCACAGAATCATTTAGTTTCCGTGTTAAACGAAGCGTAACCTTGGTGGGGGTAGGTTGCCGGATAACATAAACTCGCTCCAGCCCCTTCGCGCTCCCTCAAAAAAAATGGCAGCTGCCTTGAAAGGATCCAAAGATCAGGTGAGTATTTATTGCTCGTAAAAAAAAAGTACCCCTGTATTGCCAGCTATGTACAGTCGCAAGACTTTGTTGTACTACAAAAAAAAAAAGGAAGTCCTTTTACTTATTTATTTATTTATTTAGTGTACGAGAAAACTAAAAAAAAGTGGGGTGGTCCATAGGGGTGGTCTATGGACCCCGGTCCATGTTTTGTATACGTCCCAAAAAATACGTTCCTTTTTCCCATCTAATTAATCATATTTTAAGCGGAGAGTCTTCCGATTGGATGCGGGGTTTGAAAATTGGGGAATATCACTTGGGGTATATCTTCAGATATTCCTCAGTTTTAGTTAAGGAATATTGGGTCACGTAATGCGTTTTGAACATCGCGCATGAGCAAAAATATTTGTTGGATCATAATAAAAAATATGCATTATTTCCAGCTTCTGATTGAAAAAAATGTAAGAGATGCATTACCAGATAATTAGTTTGCTTACCACTGGGTTTGCACCCTGGTGTTATAAGAATTAAGTATCACTGGCATGACTGCCTGTAACCCTTTCCCTTCCCTCCCTTCTGGGTGTTTTATTCTCCTCCCACTTGTCCCCTTTATTACATCCTTTGCACAGTAAAAAAATCAATTTTCATCCTTTTCTGCTGGTAGTTGAGTATGTTGATGGAAACTTTATAGTGTTAGTTTTTGGTATTTTCACACCAAGACAGGCACAACCTTGAAAACTGTATATTAGCTTCTTCAATTTCAAGACCAGTGATCTCTCTACCTTAACCCATTCAAATATTATGTATAAAAAAATATTAATTAAATTTTCCAAGCACATTCAAAGCCAACACCTAATCAGGTTACTAATCTTCAGGTGACATCAACTTTTCAAACCAATGAAGAACCATACAATCCATCTTTCCTAAAAAAATTGCAATGGACCCAAAGGTGTGGCCTATGAGGTGTGAGTTCTGGAAGGTACAAAAAAAACCTTCTCGAAGAGAAAAGTAATTAACACATCCTTGTATGTTTCTAAGTTCCGGTATGACACTGGTTTAATACCTAATAAAAATACTACTATAATTAATCGTAATAAGAAGTAATCACTGGCAATTGATCAAGGGCACACACCTGAGAGCTAAAGGAAGATTTAATTTTCCTTCTAACATATCACAAACAGCAACCCTGAGGTTTTCATGCTTAATGCATTCATTATATCGTTTGCTGTCACCTTTGTAGGCTTCCTGAAAATACAAAAAAACTTTGTGAGGGGAGCTTAAAAAAATTCAGTTTTTTTTTTTACTATTTTTTTGGTTGGTTTTTCGGTTTTTGGGCCAAAAAAAATCAATTTTTCGGTTTTGATGTTCAGAGCAGTTTGCAGATTTTATGTGCTTTTGCCTTCGGTTTTCACAAAAACTCTGATGCAGTTTTTGGTTTTTCATTTTTGACCCCTTTAAAAAAAAAAATGTAGCGGTTTTGGCAGGTTTGCTCTGGTTTTCAGTTTTGCTGCCTTTTTTCGTCAGTTTTTCGGTTTTGGAGGTTTTTTTTCTCTGCTTTTGCAGTTTCCCAGAGGTCCCAATGCCCCCCTCCTATGTTTAAGAGCACTGTTCTTGGACTAAGTGTCTCTATGTCCAGAGATGGAGATGGGCAGCAATATTTTTAACTTGGAATTTGGATATAAGTAGTTTATCTCATTTCATTTTTTCCTCGAAAGTGAAACTAACTCACAAAATTCCTTCCACTCAACAAGTATGAGTACATTAAAACAGAACTGGACTAAAAACAATTGAGAATCAGTGTGACTCTGAAGGAGCTTTACCAACCTTGCGTTCATATCCTGGTTCATTGTGATATGGTTTCTCGTTCATAAGAGACTGGATTGAGATCAGTAGACTGGAGAGGGTCTGGGCAGGACTCCATGCAGGGCCAGGCCATGTTCTGTGGATGAAAAATAGTTTTTTAGACAACAAATAAAAACAATTAAAAAAAAAAAACAGTCAAATGTAGTCTGCATGAATTTTAAACACTGGTCACCTTAAAAAACAATTCCTGTAGAGCAAATTAGCTCTCTAAAGTCTTTTCACCTCTCTGCTGATCACTGACATGGATGAGCCAGCCTAATGCAAAGTAGACTTTGCTTTTCTCTCTGTGACCTAGGCTAAGGTTATGAATTTATGGGTTTTTTTTGGTCCAACCATGAAATCCAGCCATAACACTCTTTCTAAAGTGCTGCTGTAACAATTACCAGAATCACTCTTCGTAAATACAGATCAAGTTAACAAGGCAAAGTCGACAAACAAAAGTTAACAGAACATCAATTGCTTACCCTAGAATACTAAGACAAACCAACCCATTTTTGTAAAGATTGGGGTTAAATCTGACTCTTCCATTTCCTGTTGTTAAAAGACGCACTCTGGGAGGTTTGATTGGGTACTCAGGGGTAAAGGAGATGAGGAAAAAAAAAAACCCCCCCTCGTATGGTGTGCCATGTGGACCAATGACTAAAGCATGAACCTGAAAAAAAAAAATGGAAGAAAAAAAGGTAGTTATTAAGATCCTGAACTACAAAGGAATACAAAAAAAACACAAATCACTCAACAAATGGTGACTAAAACACTAGACTAAGAGTTGGATATTCTTGGCGGAATTGTAAGAACATAAACATTCCCTGAAATACAATAAAAAATCTGAGTCTAACATCGTGTTAGATCTGTCACAAACCTTTGCAATATCGTTTTCATCTGCTGCTACATACAACCCAGGAGGTGGCTCTTTGTACATACTTGTAATATCTCTGGGCAGAAAAAAAAAAACAGTAACACCAAATTAACAAAAATGAAATTATTTGGATTTTATTGATGTGTTTACCTTAAAAAAATTCGAAATGATAAACTTATAAATGTAACTTCTCCTTGTAATTTTGATATTTAATCCTGTAATCAGGTGCTGAGCTACCACAGATCTAGAGGGGGGAGGGGAAAATGTTCCAACAAAAAAAAAGACTGACATAGCCCCAGAGTACCTAAAAATGCATTTCTCTAGGACTTTAAAAGAAGAAACTGGGTACCCCCCTACTGACAACCACCTCAGGGAAACTGTAACTCTTTTTATAAATCTTGAATGAGCCCTTAATGAGAGTACACAGAATTGTTAGTTATAGGGTGCTAAAAAAATAAAACACAAAATTCTTTCAATAATTTCCCACATTTATAGTTAAGAGGCTCAAGGCCTGATCTAGGAAAGAGCAGTGAAGAGTGACTATAAAGAGCTTGGATTCATGTACAAAAAAAAAGAAAAGACTGCTATCCAGAGTTCATCAATTAACAAGAGTGATGAAAAAAGCAAAAAAATGCCCATCTCTTGTTTTACAATCACAGTCTAAATGTCTGAGTCTATTATCCAAAAAAAAATTAAAAACAACAGGTGCAAGTACCATCCCTCTCACTGTTTTATCCTGGATAAAAAAAAATGTTCATGTATCAGCACTGTACCGGGTGGGGGGGAGGGGGAGTAGAGGTAAAAAAAAAGTCTGTACCTGAGCCATTAGTGGCCCAACCAGTTTCCTGGGCATGAAGTGACCGGAAGAATCACTACTTCTCCCTGGATGGTATGCTAGTTCTTCACAAGGTTACCACCCTAAAAAAAATCAAACTTCCTTGACACTTTGCCACGGCGTCTCCCACAAGGAGGGGGTGGGGGAGTGAAAAGAAGAAATTTCAATGTTGTACAGTCCTATAGATGAGCAATGTATCACCTAAAAAAATCAGTTTCTTGAATTCTTCCTTGCCGGACTATATTTGCCCATTTGTTTTAACTCAACTTTCCTTCCTGTCCACAGCTGGTGGACAGGAAAAGAAAATGTTTGAATAATTGAAAAAAAAAAGAGATGAAACTATTCTCCATTATATTAAACCAGCTTTCGATTGCCCATGCAAAAAAATTCAACCTACAAAATAACAGTTCATTCAAATCCAATTTTTTAAATGCCTTTCAAAAAAAACAGAGACCCGTCACTACTCCTTTTCACTAAAAGCCATAAAGGGTTATTGAGAAAAAAATGTCAAAACATACCGCTTTGCAAAACTAAGTGTTGACAACGCAAACCTGGCCGCTTTACCAAAGCTCGTAACGGGCATAGCTTATATGTAACAATCAAATATTTAAATGAAAAGAGTTTTTTTTTTTAGACTAAATTATCGATCTCTGGAAAATTTGTCATGTGCACAGCTGCTTGCTCGCTGTCCTAGTTCAACGCCGTGGTGCTAAAAGTTAGAGTGAAATTCCCGATGATCCAGGGAGGAACGTCGAGTCTTATTGCCGACTGCTTACAACTCTTACCTTTTAATTCTGAAAAGGCAAAGTGCAGAAAAATTGGTCGTAGGATGTTTAATACGCTGCCATGGGGCTTTTGGTAGCAGTTCCGACCCGGAAGCTTTCTCCGCCATGTTGTGAAATGTTCATTAAAAAAAAATGAGAGAAGTCTGGCTCACAATTTAGTTGGAATCTCGTTCCCAGGGTCTCTTATGTTCCTGCTCCGGGGGCCAGGAAGATAAAAGACCCTGGGAACGAGGTTGACTGCAGGAAAAAAATGCTTGGAAATATTAAGCGATTTCAAAACCTATTTTTACGGTGGCCCAGAATAAAAAAAGCAAACAAAAAATATACTGCAGCAAATAAAAAATATACTGCAGCAAATAAAAAAAAAAATGTAGCAAATAAAAAATATACTGGAGCAAATAAAAAATATACTGGTGCAAATAAAAAAATACTGCAGCAAATAAAAAAGTCATAACGCAAAGAAAAAAAGTAGCGCAGCAAAAAAAAAAAATGCAACGCAAACAAAAACTACTGCAGCAAATAAAATATGCAACGCAAACAAAAAAAGTTGGAACGCAACGCCAAGGAAGACTGGGTAATAGTTCTTAGTTTCCCGCCAAAACAGCATGAATTGGAACTCGCTTTTGGTTAAGGACGAAAGCGATCAGCGTAGGATTATAGAAAATTACTTTCATCAAGGGTATGAAAATAGAGTTATCATCGATTTTTTAAAGTAGCAGCATGGTACCAGTACTGTCATGCAGAACATGGTTTGGGAAAGGTGAACAAGCAAAGGATGTAACGAGTGTTGGCGGGAAACTAAGAACTATTACCCAGTCTTCCTTGGCGTTGCGTTCCAACTTTTTTTGTTCGCGTTTTCTAGTTTTTGTTTGCGTTGCATTTTTATTATTTGCTGCGGTACTTTTTTTCTTTGTGTTATGATTTTTTTATTTGCTGCAGTATATTTTTATTTGCTGCAGTATATTTTTATTTGCTCCAGTATATTTTTTATTTGCTGCAGTATATTTTTTATTTCCTAAAGTATATTTTTTATTTGCTGCAGTATACTTTTTATTCGCTGCAGTATATTTTTTGTTTGCGTTCAGCCTTCTGGGCCACCGTACATACATACCGAGATTTACGCGCCAAAAAGCATCGAGATAAAAATAGTCTCTTCGCGCTAGAGGAGCCAGCTGATTGGTCATACGATTTTTTTTCACTAGTGAAAAACGACGTATCGACGCTCTGATTGGCTATATCATTATTTTCAC